CCCGTGCCACTCACCCATCTCTTCTACAGCCCGTGCTACTCACCCATCTCTTCGAGCCCGTGCCACTCACCCACCCATCTCTTCTACAGCCCATTCCACTCACCCATCTCTTCTCCAGCCCGTGCCACTCACCCATCTCTTCTACAGCCCGTGCCACTCACCCATCTCTTGTACAGCCCGTGCCACTCACCCATCTCTTCTCCAGCCCGTGCCACTCACCCATCTCTTCTACAGCCCGTGCCACTCACTCACCCATCTCTTCTACAGCCCGTGCCACTCACCCATCTCTTCTCCAGCCCGTGCCACTCACCATCTCTTCTCCAGCCCGTGCCACTCACCCATCTCTTCTACAGCCCGTGCCACTCACCCACACATCTCTTCTCCAGCCCGTGCCACTCACCCACACCCACCCATCTCTTCTACAGCCCGTGCCACTCACCCACACCCACGTCTTCTACAGCCCGTGCCACTCACCCACACCCACCGATCTCTTCTACAGCCCGTGCCACTCACTCACCCATCTCTTCTACAGCCCGTGCCACTCACCCATCTCTTCGAGCCCGTGCCACTCACCCACCCATCTCTTCTACAGCCCATGCCACTCACCCATATCTTATCCAGCCCATGCCACTCACCCATCTCTTCTACAGCCCGTGCAACTCACCCATCTCTTGTACAGCCCGTGCCACTCACCCACACTCACCCATCTCTTCTACAGCCCGTGCCACTCACCCATCTCTTGTACAGCCCGTGCCACTCACCCATCTCTTCTCCAGCCCGTGCCACTCACCCATCTCTTCTCCAGCCCGTGCCACTCACCCATCTCTTCTACAGCCCGAGCCACTCACCCACCCATCTCTTCTCCAGCCCGTGCCACTCACCCATCTCTTCTCCAGCCCGTGCCACTCACCCACCTCTTCTACAGCCCGTGCCACTCACCCACACCCACCCATCTCTTGTTCAGCCCGTGCCACTCACCCTCACTCACCCATCTCTTCTACAGCCCGTGCCACTCACCCTCACTCACCCATCTCTTCTACAGCCCGTGCCACTCACCCATCTCTTGTACAGCCCGTGCCACTCACCCACCCATCTCTTCTACAGCCCATTCCACTCACCCATCTCTTCTCCAGCCCGTGCCACTCACCCATCTCTTCTACAGCCCGTGCCACTCACCCATCTCTTGTACAGCCCGTGCCACTCACCCACCTCTTCTACAGCCCGTGCCACTCACCCATCTCTTGTACAGCCCGTGCCACTCACCCATCTCTTCTCCAGCCCGTGCCACTCACCCATCTCTTCTCTAGCCCGTGCCACTCACCCATCTCTTCTACAGCCCGTGCCACTCACCCATCTCTTCTCCAGCCCGTGCCACTCACCCACAACCACCCATCTCTTCTACAGCCCGTGCCACTCACCCACACCCACGTCTTCTACAGCCCGTGCCACTCACCCACACCCACCGATCTCTTCTACAGCCCGTGCCACTCACTCACCCATCTCTTCTACAGCCCGTGCCACTCACCCATCTGTTCGAGCGAGTGCCACTCACCCACCCATCTCTTCTACAGCCCATGCCACTCACCCATATCTTATCCAGCCCGTGCCACTCACCCATCTCTTCTACAGCCCGTGCAACTCACCCATCTCTTGTACAGCCCGTGCCACTCACCCACACTCACCCATCTCTTCTCCAGCCCGTGCCACTCACCCATCTCTTGTACAGCCCGTGCCACTCACCCATCTCTTCTCCAGCCCGTGCCACTCACCCATCTCTTCTACAGCCCGTGCCACTCACCCATCTCTTCTACAGCCCGTGCCACTCACCCACCCATCTCTTCTCCAGCCCGTGCCACTCACCCATCTCTTCTCCAGCCCGTGCCACTCACCCACCTCTTCTACAGCCCGTGCCACTCACCCACACCCACCCATCTCTTGTTCAGCCCGTGCCACTCACCCTCACTCACCCATCTCTTCTACAGCCCGTGCCACTCACCCTCACTCACCCATCTCTTCTACAGCCCGTGCCACTCACCCATCTCTTGTACAGCCCGTGCCACTCACCCACCCATCTCTTCTACAGCCCGTGCCACTCACCCACACACACCCATCTCTTCGCCAGCCCGTGCCACTCACCCACACTCACCAATCTCTTCTACAGCCCGTGCCACTCACTCACCCATCTCTTCTACAGCCCGTGCCACTCACTCACCTCTTCTACAGCCCGTGCCACTCACCCATCTCTTCGAGCCCGTGCCACTCACCCACCCATCTCTTCTACAGCCCATTCCACTCACCCATCTCTTCTCCAGCCCGTGCCACTCACCCATCTCTTCTACAGCCCCTGCCACTCACCCATCTCTTGTACAGCCCGTGCCACTCACCCACACTCACCCATCTCTTCTACAGCCCGTGCCACTCACCCATCTCTTCTACAGCCCGTGCCACTCACCCATCTCTTCTCCAGACCGTGCCACTCACCCATCTCTTCTCCAGCCCGTGCCACTCACCCATCTCTTCTACAGCCCGTGCCACTCACCCACCCATCTCTTCTCCAGCCCGTGCCACTCACCCACACCCACCCATCTCTTCTACAGCCCGTGCCACTCACCCACACCCACCTCTTCTACAGCCCGTGCCCCTCACTCACCCATCTCTTCTACTGCCCGTGCCACTCAACCACACTCACCCATCTCTTTGGCAGCCCGTGCCACTCACCTACACTCATCCATCTCTACAGCCCGTGCCACTCACCCACACCCACCGATCTCTTCTACAGCCCGTGCCACTCACTCACCCATCTCTTCTACAGCCCGTGCCACTCACCCATCTCTTCGAGCCCGTGCCACTCACCCACCCATCTCTTCTACAGCCCATGCCACTCACCCATATCTTCTCCAGCCCGTGCCACTCACCCATCTCTTCTACAGCCCGTGCCACTCACCCATCTCTTGTACAGCCCGTGCCACTCACCCACACTCACCCATCTCTTGTACAGCCCGTGCCACTCACCCATCTCTTGTACAGCCCGTGCCACTCACCCATCTCTTGTACAGCCCGTGCCACTCACCCATCTCTTCTCCAGCCCGTGCCACTCACCCATCTCTTCTCCAGCCCGTGCCACTCACCCATCTCTTCTGCAGCCCGTGCCACTCACCCACCCATCTCTTCTCCAGCCCGTGCCACTCACCCATCTCTTCTCCAGCCCGTGCCACTCACCCATCTCTTCTCCAGCCCGTGCCACTCACCCATCTCTTCTCCAGCCCGTGCCACTCACCCACCCATCTATTCTCCAGCCCGTGCCACTCACCCACACCCACCCATCTCTTCTACAGCCCGTGCCACTCACCCACACCCACCACTTCTACAGCCCGTGCCATTCACCCACCAGCCCATCTCTTCTCCCGCCCATGCCACTCACCCACACATCTCGTCCAGCTCGTGCCACTCATCCACATTCACCCATCTCTTCTACAGCCCGTGCCACTCACCCATCTCTTCTACAGCACGTGCCAGTCACCCACACCCACCCATCTCTTCCACAGCCCGTGCCACTCACCCACACTCACCCATCTCTTCTCCAGCCCGTGCCACTCACCCATCTCTTCCAAAGCCCGTGCACTCACCCACATCTCTTCTCCAGCCCGTGCCACTCACCCATCTCTTCTACAGCCCGTGCCACTCACCCACCAGCCCATCTCTTCTACAGCCCGTGCCACTCACCCATCTCTTCTACAGCCCGTGCCACTCATCCACACTCACCCATCTCTTCTACAGCCCGTGCCACTCACCCATCTCTACAGCCCGTGCCACTCACCCATCTCTTCTACAGCCCGTGCCACTCACCCACACTCACCCATCTCTTCCACAGCCCGTGACACTCACCCATCTCTACAGCCCATGCCACTCACCCACACCCATCTCTACAGCCCGTGCCACTCACCCACCAGCCCATCTCTTCTACAGCCCGTGCCATTCACCCACACTCACCCATCTCTACAGCCCGTGCCACTCACCCACACCCATCTCTACAGCCCGTGCCACTCACCCACCAGCCCATCTCTTCTACAGCCCGTGCCACGCTCGTTTATCCCCCTCTATCCGGCCAAACAGACGCGGCATGGGTATGCGGTGGCTGGGCATGCGGAGGCTGGGCATGCTGAGGCTGTGCATGCGGTGGCTGGGCATGCTGAGGCTGGGCATGCGGTGGCTGGGCATGCGGAGGCTGGGCATGCTGAGGCTGGGCATGCGGTGGCTGGGCACGGGGTGGCTGGGCACGGGGTGGCTGAGCATGTGGAGGCTGCTGAATGACCACTCGTACAAAGATCCCTCCCACAGAACCTCAACAGAATGTTGGGGACAAGAGCTGTCGGTAGCGAGTAGCAGCACCTATGAGGACCGGCACCGTGGCACAACAAGGGGATGGGGGGGGTGGACACCACCACACCCGGCCGCCTTTGTCTCCCCCCCAGTGGCAACGTTTTTCCACCCCATCGGGTACTCATTTGAGGCCGAGTGGACCAAGGGGGAGGCACAGCGCCCACACACACAGGCGCCTACACACAGGCGCCCACACACACACACACAGACGCCCACACACACACACAGGCACCCACACACATAGACGCCCACACACACACACATAGACGCCCACACACACACATAGACGCCCACACACATAGACGCCCACACACACACATAGACGCCCACACACACACATAGACGCCCACACACACACAGGCGCCCACACACTCACACACAGTGCCCACACACACACACACACAGTGCCCACACACACACAGTGCCCACACACACACAGTGCCCACACACACACACACACAGGCGCCCACACACACAGGCGCCCACACACACACACACACAGTGCCCACACACACACACCCACACACACAGGCGCCCACACACACACACACAGGCGCCCACACACACACACACCCACACACTCACACTCAAACCCCAGACAGCGACGCAAAGCAGCCTGCTGCTGTTGTGAACCGGAACGTCTTTATTGTTGGGCGGTGCCGCAGGAGACAGCAGCAGCAGCAGCAGGGCCCACCACCACCACCACCACACTGCCACCGTCACCACCGCCACCACACTGCCACCGTCACCGCCCCCACACAGCGCTCAGTTCTTGTAGCCTCTGCTCGCCCTGCGACCCCGAGCCCTCTCAAACTTGCGGCCCTTGGAGCGAACGTACGGCCTGCATGGGGCGGGGAGAGAGACGCGGTGGTGGTGAGGTGAGGAGGGTGGTGGTGGTGAGGTGGTGGTGAGGTTGGTGGTGAGGTGGTGAGGGTGGTGGTGAGGTGGTGGTGTGAGCCCCGTGTGTGTAGCCCCGTGTGTGTGTGTGTGAGTGAGTGTGTGAGTGTGTGAGTGAGTGTCTGTGTGTGTGAGTGAGTGTCTGTGTGAGTGAGTGTCTGTGTGAGTGTGTGTGAGTGTCTGTGTGTGTGAGTGAGTGTCTGTGTGTGTGTGAGTGTCTGTGTGTGCGAGTGTCTGTGTGAGTGTGTGCGAGTGTCTGTGTGTGTGTGTGAGTGTCTGTGTGAGTGAGTGTCTGTGTGAGTGTGTGAGTGTCTGTGTGAGTGTGTGCGAGTGTGTGCGAGTGTCTGTGTGAGTGTCCGTGTGAGTGTGTGAGTGTCTGTGTGAGTGTGTGTGTGAGTGTGTGAGTGTCTGTGTGAGTGTGTGTGTGAGTGTCTGTGAGAGTGTGTGTGTGCGAGTGTCTGTGTGAGTGTCTGTGTGAGTGTCCGTGTGAGTGTCTGTGTGAGTGTCCGTGTGAGTGTCTGTGTGAGTGTCCGTGTGAGTGTCCGTGTGAGTGTCCGTGTGAGTGTCCGTGTGAGTGTCCGTGTGTCTGTGTGTCTGTGTGTCTGTGTGAGTGTCTGTGTGAGTGTGTGTGAGTGTCTGTGTGTGAGTGTGTGAGAGTGTGTGAGTGTGTGTGTGTGTCTGTGTGAGTGTGTGTGTCTGTGTGAGTGTGTGTGTCTGTGTGAGTGTGAGTGTCTGTGTGAGTGTGAGTGTCTGTGTGAGTGTCCGTGTGTCTGTGTGAGTGTCTGTGTGAGTGTGTGTGAGTGTGTGTGAGTGTGTGTGAGTGTGTGTGAGTGTCTGTGTGTGAGTGTGTGAGAGTGTGTGAGTGTGTGTGTGTGTCTGTGTGAGTGTGTGTGTCTGTGTGAGTGTGTGTGTGTGTCTGTGTGTGTGAGTGTCTGTGTGTGTGAGTGTCTGTGTGTGCGTGTCTGTGTGTGTGTCTGTGTGAGTGTGTGAGTGTCTGTGTGTGTCTGTGAGTGTGTGTGTGTCTGTGAGTGTGTGTGAGTGTGTTTGTGTGAGTGTGTGTGAGTGTGTGTCTGTGTGAGTGTGTGCGAGTGTGTGCGAGTGTGTGTGAGTGTGTGTGAGTGTGTGCGAGTGTGTGCGAGTGTGTGCGAGTGTGTGCGAGTGTGTGTGTGAGTGTCTGTGTGTGTCTGTGAGTGTGTGTGTGTGAGAGTGTGCGAGTGTGTGCACGAGTAAACTCACTTTGTGTGCGAGTGTGGAACGCCGGGTGCCGGTCCAAAGTGGCGGTAGGCTTCACGGCCTTTACGGGGTCCTGGTGAGGTACAGGAGGAGACACGGTGGGTGAGGTACAGGAAGAGACACGGGGGGACAGGAGGAGAGACACGGGGGTACAGGAGGAGAGACACGGGGGTACAGGAGGAGAGACACGGGGGGACAGGAGGAGAGACACGGGGGTACAGGAGGAGAGACACGGGGGTACAGGAGGAGAGACACGGGGGTACAGGAGGAGAGACACGGTGGGTACAGGAGGAGAGACACGGTGGGTACAGGAGGAGAGACACAGGGGGTACAGGAGAGACACGGTGGGACAGGAGGTACAGGAGACACGGTGGGTGAGGTACAGGAGGAGAGACACGGGGGGTGAGGTACAGGAGGAGACACGGGGGGACAGGAGGAGAGACACGGGGGGACAGGAGGAGAGACACGGGGGTACAGGAGGAGAGACACGGGGGTACAGGAGGAGAGACACAGGGGGACAGGAGGAGAGACACAGGGGGACAGGAGGAGAGACACAGGGGTACAGGAGGAGACACGGGGGTACAGGAGGAGAGACACGGGGGGACAGGAGGAGACACGGGGGTACAGGAGGAGAGACACGGGGGGACAGGAGGAGAGACACGGGGGGACAGGAGGAGACACGGGGGTACAGGAGGAGAGACACGGGGGGACAGGAGGAGAGACACGGGGGGACAGGAGGAGAGACACGGGGGGACAGGAGGAGAGACACAGGGGGACAGGAGGAGAGACACAGGGGGACAGGAGGAGAGACACGGGGGGACAGGAGGAGAGACACGGGGGGACAGGAGGAGAGACACGGGGGGACAGGAGGAGAGACACAGGGGGACAGGAGGAGAGACACGGGGGGACAGGAGGAGAGACACGGGGGGACAGGAGGAGAGACACAGGGGGACAGGAAGAGAGACACGGGGGGACAGGAGAGACACGGGGGGACAGGAGGAGAGACACGGGGGTACAGGAGGAGAGACACAGGGGGACAGGAGGAGAGACACAGGGGGACAGGAGGAGAGACACAGGGGGACAGGAGGAGAGACACAGGGGTACAGGAGGAGACACGGGGGTACAGGAGGAGAGACACGGGGGGGACAGGAGGAGACACGGGGGTACAGGAGAGACACGGGGGGACAGGAGGAGAGACACAGGGGGACAGGAGGAGAGACACGGGGGGACAGGAGGAGAGACACAGGGGGACAGGAGGAGAGACACGGGGGGACAGGAGGAGAGACACGGGGGGACAGGAGGAGAGACACGGGGGGACAGGAGGAGAGACACGGGGGGACAGGAGGAGAGACACAGGAGGGACAGGAGGTACAGGAGACACGGTGGGTGAGGTACAGGAGGAGACACAGGAGGTACAGGACGAGAGACACGGGGGGACAGGAGGAGAGACACGGGGGGACAGGAGGAGAGACACAGGGGGACAGGAGAGACACAGGGGGACAGGAAGAGAGACACGGGGGGACAGGAGGAGAGACACGGGGGGACAGGAGGAGAGACACGGGGGTACAGGAGGAGAGACACAGGGGGACAGGAGGAGAGACACAGGGGGACAGGAGAGACACAGGGGGACAGGAGGAGAGACACAGGGGTACAGGAGGAGACACGGGGGTACAGGAGGAGAGACACGGGGGGACAGGAGGAGAGACACGGGGGGACAGGAGGAGAGACACAGGGGGACAGGAGGAGAGACACAGGGGGACAGGAGGAGAGACACGGGGGGACAGGAGGAGAGACACGGTGGGTACAGGAGGAGAGACACGGGGGGACAGGAGGAGAGACACAGGGGGACAGGAGGAGAGACACGGGGGTACAGGAGGAGAGACACAGGGGGACAGGAGAGACACGGGGGTACAGGAGGAGAGACACGGTGGGTACAGGAGGAGAGACACGGTGGGTACAGGAGGAGAGACACGGGGGGTACAGGAGGAGAGACACAGGGGGACAGGAGGAGAGACACGGGGGGACAGGAGGAGAGACACGGGGGGACAGGAGGAGAGACACAGGGGGACAGGAGGAGAGACACGGGGGTACAGGAGGAGAGACACAGGGGGACAGGAGGAGAGACACAGGGGGACAGGAGGAGAGACACGGGGGTACAGGAGGAGAGACACGGGGGTACAGGAGGAGAGACACGGGGGTACAGGAGACACAGGAGGTACAGGAGGTACAGCAATGCTCACTGACACCCGATCCTTACGGTGGGGGTACCCCCCCGAGGCACCAAATAACACAAACTGACCGAGGCAATTAAAACATTTCATTTCGGGGACGCCATTTGTTTCCAGGGGTGTGCACAGTTAAAAAACCTTGGGATTGCGAGCAACAACTCCTTCCGGAAACGTGTTTTGTAATCCAAAGAGCTCGTACGTCAAAGCGCCCGTACGTCAAAGAGCCAATATGTCACCTTCCCCACCTAGCCCCTCCCTCCCTCCCCACCCAGCCCCTCCCTCCCCACCCCAGCCCCCTCCCTCTCCACCCAGCCCCTCCCTCCCACCCCACCCAGCCCCTCCCTCTCCACCCAGCCCCTCCCTCCCCACCCCACCCACCACCTCCCTCTCCACCCAGCCCCTCCCTCCCTCCCCACCCACCAAGCCCCTCCCACCCCACCCAGCCCCTCCCTCCCTCCCCACCCACCACCTCCCTCTCCACCCAGCCCCTACGGAAAGAACCAATAAACAAGGCATCACATTCCCGTAGAACGTGTTTTTGTTTTTTCTGTCTGCATTTTGACTGCGCGCTATTGATCGCGGTTGATGCAGTAACAGGAATCCTTGTGTGTGTGACAAAAAAATAAATGTGTTTCAGTTTCGCTGCCGCAAAAAATGGGAGAAACGTTTATCATCATCATCATCTTCTTTGGTCCTTTCGGTAAAGTCACCACCACCACCACGTAGAATGAGAATAAAATAATAAATTGATAAAATAAAATAACACGACAATAATAATATTCTCACACGACGTTTCGGGCCACAACACAAGCAGCCTTCATCAGGTGAAGGGAGGCGAGAACTGTTTGGTAGGACAGCGCTGGAGTGAGATAAGCCACGTTCAGATCACGGCCTTTAAGCTGTGTGAGAGGAACAAAGCGCCTTAGAGTCGCGGCCTTGTTCCTCTCGCACAGCTTAAAGGCCGTGATCTGAACGGCCTTTAGGCCGTGATCTGAACGTGGCTCTCTCACTCCAGCGCTGTCCTACCAGACAGTTCTCGCCTCCCTTCACCTGATGAAGGCCGCTTGCGTTGTGGCCGAAACGTCGTGAGAATATTAAAATAAAATAACACAATAATAATATTCTCACACGACGTTTCGGCCACAACGCAAGCGGCCTTCATCAGGTGAAGGGAGGCGAGAACTGTCTGGTAGGACAGCGCTGGAGTGAGAGAGCCACGTTCAGATCACGGCCTAAAGGCCATTCAGATCACGGCCTTTAAGCTGTGTGAGAGGAACAATTCCGCGACTCTAAGGCGCTTTGTTCCTCTCACACAGCTTAAAGGCCGTGATCTGAACGTGGCTTATCTCACTCCAGCGCTGTCCTACCAGACAGTTCTCGCCTCCCTTCACCTGATGAAGGCCGCTTGTGTTGTGGCCCGAAACGTCGTGTGAGAATATTATTATTGTCGTGTTATTTTATTTTATCAATTTATTATTTTATTCTCATTCTACGTGGTGGTGGTGGTGGTGACTTTACCGAAAGGACCAAAGAAGATGAATCATTGCAGTCGCGAAAGCTTCAAATCGAAATCACCATCATCATCATCATCACCACATTAAGGAGGTTCTAATGGCGACGGAAACTTTGAACGGCCCCGTCTCCGGGCGAGGCTACGATCGTCTGTGGCAGCCCGAGGCTCAGCCGTGAACGTCGGCGATGGTCTGAGGAGGAGGGCCGGCTGGACTCACCGGACAGGAGCACAGTGTTCTGGCCGCGAGGGGACAGCAGGGCGAGCTGGTCCAGCGTGAGGACCTCCCCGCCGGCTCTCAGAATTCGGTCTCTCGCCTTCGCCGTCACCCGCAGGGCGCACACCTGCAGGCAACAGGCCGCCGCCAGTGGCGTCGTCACGGCAACAACAACCACCACAACCACAACATCATCAATCACAGAGCGCACAGCTACAGGCAACACACCGCCGTCGTCACCGCCACAACAACCACCACCACAACAACCACCACAACCACAACAACCACAGTAGCAGAGCGCACAGCTACAACAACACACCACCGTCACCACCACCACAACAACCACCACAACCACATCATCAACAACAGTAGCAGAGCTCACAGCTACAACAACACACCACCGTCACCACCACCACCACCACCACAACAACCACCACATCATCAACAACAGTAGCAGAGGGCACACCTACAGCAACACACCACCGTCACCACCACAACAACAACCACAACATCATCAACCACAGTAGCAGAGCTCACATCTACAGCAACACACCACCGTCACCACCACATCAACCACAGTAGCAGAGCTCACACCTACAACAACACACCACCGTCACCACCACCACAACAACAGTAGCAGAGGGCACACCTACAACAACACACCACCATCACCACCACCACAACATTAACCACAGGAGCACAGGGCACACCTACAGCGAGCGACAGAGTGGCTCAGTGGGTGGGTGTATGATTGAGTTCGTGAGTGGGTGGGTGGGTGTGTGAATGAGTTATTGAGTGGGTGAGTGTTGGTGAGTGGGAGTAGAAGTGGTGAGCGAGTGATTGGTGAGCGAGCGAGCGGTGAGTGAGCGGTGAGCATCGCACCTTGATCTTGGGAATAGTGAAGATCCTGGGGTCATCGGTGATGGTACCAATCACCACGGCAACCTTCCCCTCTCGACCGCCCATCTTCATCTTACGTACCTACAAAGACAAAGGTCGCCCGTATAGCCGTTGACAGACCGCTGGGGCAAGTGGCGTCCGTAGCGAGCAACAGCGCCGATGTAGGCCGGCACCGTGGCACACGAGGGGGTGAGGGTTGGTCAGCACCAGGCATGTCCACACACACAGGCAGACAGACACACACACAGGCAGACAGACACACGCACAGGCAGACAGACACACGCACAGGCAGACAGACACACGCACAAGGAGAGGCAGGCACACGCACGCACGAGCAGACACGCACGAGCAGACACGCACGAGCAGACGGGGCACCACACACACACCAGCAGAGAGACACACCAGCACACACACACAGACACACAATCGCAGACACCACACACACCAGCAGAGAGACACACCAGCACACACACACAGACACACTAGCAGACACCAAACACCAGCAGACAGACACATATTGAGCCACTAGCAGACAGACACTGGTGCACACACATACACACTAGCAGATCCACACACACTAGCAGATCCACACACACACACTAGCAGAACCACACACACACTAGCAGAACCACACACTAGCAGATCCACACACACACTAGCAGATCCACACACACAAGCAGACACATACAGATACTAGCGGAAAACAACCGAAATTCGCCACTAAGTGGCGGTAACGTCACCACGGCGCTTGTGCCAGACCATGTGCAGACACACGCACACACTGGCAGACACACACACACACTGGCAGACACACACACACACACATACTGGCAGACACAGACACACACTGGCAGACACAGACACACACACTCTGGCAGAGACGCACGCAAGCACTGGACCATCTGTGAAAATACTTGACCATTTGTGAAAGAGCTTTACATAGCTCACTGGATTCCTCCAGTACAACCAAATATTCCCGTTCATTCGGATTCTGAAACGCGCGCGCACACGCACGCACACACAGACACGCACACAGACACACACAGACACACACACAGACACACACACAGACACACACGCACACAGGCACACAGACACACGCACAGACACACGCACAGACACACGCACGCACACACACGCACGCACACGCACGCACACACACACACAGACACACTCACACACACAGACACACGCACACACACACACAGACACACACACGGACACACACACACAGACACAACAACAACAACCGCCATTCGCCACTAAGTGGCGGTGACGTCACCACGACGCTTGTGCCAGGCTATGTGCACCCTGAGGCCACGTGAAGTGTCGAACGCCCGCTGGCAGGAGGTCACGGGGCAGACCCAGGTGCCACGGGTCGACTGACTGAGATGACTGGCTGATGCACCACCTGTGCCCCCTACTGTGCCAACCTGCTGTGCTTTAGCCACCCGGCGCTCCGCTCGTTGTTCTGAGCGTCGCTCCTCCGCCCTCCGTTGTTGTTGGAGGGCGACTGCCTCCAACTGCCCAGTAGCATCCTTCACGAGCCTCCTCCACAGAGGCCGATCTTGACACCGCTGGTACCAGTCATCGGCAAGTCCACTCAGCTCCACGTCCTCCTGTACCACATCACTCCATCTCTTCTCTAGCCCGTGCCGCGCCCGCTTAGCCCCCTCAATCCGGCCAAACAAAAGCTGTTTCGGCATGCGGTGGCTGGGCATGCGGGCTACATGACCCAGCCATCGCAGCCTTGCCTGCCGGAGGAGCTCACCAATGGGACCCTGCCCAGATCTTTCAAGGAATTTTGAGCTCCTCACACAATCCAGTCTGGTTAAACCCAGGATGGATCGTAGGCAGGCCAGCCTAAATGTTTCTAACCGGCGAAGATGTTCCATTAGGGGGGTCCACGTTTCGCAAGCGTAGAGAAGGGAGGGAATGACCGTGGCCGAGAAGACCTGAAGCTTAGTGCGGAGCGACAGACCAGGTAGCTTCCACACAGCGTTACGCAACCGATGAAAAGATATTGCCGCTCGACTGATTCGGAGTGAGACCTCTGCTGTTAAACTGGAGCCAGTCATAAGCACACTGCCCAGGTATGGGAAACTCTCCACTCTCTCCACAACTGCCCCATCACCGATTGGGAGTTGTGGGGGTGGAGTGTCCGATGGTACAAAATACCCAGGCAGGTGCTTAGTTTTGGTGGGGCTGATGGTAAGGCCCCACCTCTTAGTGGCACGCTCCAGTCTCAGCAGCAGCGTCTCCAACTCCTCCTCTGAGCAGCTATTACCAAGTCATCAGCATACATAACGTGGTTGAGCAATAGGGAGCCATCCCTTGACCGCACCCGGGCATCGATTAGCCTCCCATTATATCTGTACCATATGGAGATTCCCCCGGTACAGCTATTGAAGGCTTCACGAACTACGTGGTCAAAATAGATGTTAAATAATGTGGGAGCCAGAGGACATCCCTGTCGCACCCCAAGGTGTACAGGGAATGGCTCTGACTCCCGGCCACGTAGTTTTACCCGGGCCCGCTCACCATCATGAAGGTCCTTAATGATCGTGAGCAGAGGGTCAGGTACTCCAAAAGCATGAAGAACGACCCAGAGCCCAGGCCTACTGATGGTATCATAGGCCTTGACCAGGTCAATAAAGCAGAGATGTAGGTCTTGTTGGAATTCCCTGCACCTCTGCTGTAGCAGACGGACAGAAAATATGGCATCTGTGCAGGACCGCCCTTTCCTGAAACCGCATTGGGGCTCCGCAAGCCTCTCCTCAGCGTGCCTGGCAAGGCGATGCTGAATAATCCTTGCCAGGACCTTTCCCGGCACACTGAGGAGTGAGATGCCCCTGTAGTTGTTACAGTCTGTGCGGTCCCCCTTCTTAAAAAGGGGGACCACCAGGGCATCCTTCCAATCCTGCGGAACCCGTCCAGTGGTCCAGACTGTTGTTATGATGTCATATAGGGCAGTCTGTGCACAAACGCCACCCTCCCTCAGCATTTCGCTTGGGAGATCATCTCTGCCCGCTGCCTTTCCTGGTCTCAGACTCCGGATCGCCTTCAATACTTCCTCAGCAGATGGCACCTCAGCCAGCCACTCACAGGGGGTGACGTCATCCAATATTTGAGGCACCGCAGCCTCAGCAGGGTCATCCTCACTTTGTGCCACGATGTTTTCCTGGCTGAGGGATTTTCCCTTCCCCAGGACCTCACAGAAATGCTCAGCAAATCTGCGAACCTGTTCCTGGGGGTCGGAAATTGGATCACCGTTTTTTCCCCTAATGATGGTAATAGGTGTGGCGCTGCAGGTTACTTTTTGATGGAGTTAAATAGAGATTTGTGATCACGGGCCACTGAGGCAGACTCCATCTCAGCAACCCGCGACCACCACCCATCCTTGCAGCGCCTCACGGCTCTCCGAACCTCCGAGCGAAGGCTGCGGTAAGCCTCCTCATTCTCTGACGTGGGATTCTGTAGCCGATGACAGTGGGCCTGTCGCTTTTTCTCAACCATCCTGAACACCTCCTCTGTCAGCCAGGGTGTCTGGGGAGGTCTGGATCACGTACCCAAAGCAGCCATTGCAGTTGCATGAGTCACAGTCCTAAACCTCGCCCATTTACCCTCGACATCAGGAGGAGTCGGGGACGATGCCAATCCCAGCCGCAAGCGATGATGAAATTCTCGCTTGCAACTTTCATCAGATAACTGAGACCAGGCCACTTTAGGTTGGAATGGGGTCCTGGGTGTACACCCACCACCGGAGTGGAAGAATGGCAGGCGCATCTTACAGATGACTAGTCGATGGTCAGAGGGCAGATCAGCTCCACGGTAGGTCCTGGTGTCAAGGACATGGGCTCGCATTCGCTGGTCCGTCACTATGTAGTCCAGCAGATGTTCTTGCTTGGACCCGGCATGCATCCATGATGTTGTGTGGATGCGCCGATGCCGGAACAGCGTGTTGGTAATTACAAGCCCATGGGCTGCACAAAAATCTAGCAGCCTCCTACCGTTGTTATTGAGCTGATCTGGCCCATGCCCTCCAATCACTCCAGACCAGGTGCCAGTATCATGACCAACTCGGGCATTGAAGTCACCCAACATGATGACTCTATCCCGAGGGGCCACTTTAGCCAGCACCTGTGACAGGAGGTCATAGAAGGCATCTGACTCATCGGCTTTGCCTGCATCCCTCCACGGATGTTCATCTTCGGTGGGGGCATAAGTAACCACGACCACCATTCCTCGCCTCCGGTTGATGGGAAGGCGAGCCCAAAGTAGCCTGGGGCTTACAGCTTCCCACACCTCACCGCCACGCTCCCACGCCCCCTTCATTCTTTTGTTCAAAAAGAAGACCCACACCCTGTTGTTTGGCAGTCTGCTGCCCCGAGTAGAGGACTGTCCACTCCTCATGGTGGCAGGAGCCAGAGCCGGTCCACCGGACCTCCTGAATGCCGCATAGATCCAGGCGGTACCGGTCCAGCTCCCGACAGAGGAGTGGCAGCCTCTCCTCTGCAGTGAGCGTTCGAACATTCCACGTGGCCACCCGTAGTGGCTTTTCTTTGTTTCTGGAGTAGCCCCGAGGGTAGGTATTCAATCTCCTGGCTCCGCCAATTGGGGTTTGGCCAGGAGACGTCATAGACGCCTGGCCCCCCGGGGCCTCCGGCACAAGCTTAGTTGTTACATATTTCAGTTTAATTCGTGGTTTCGTGGTAATTAATTGAAGGTGGAGGGGTTACCAGCCCCTCGCACCCGTCCACACAGACACACACACAGACACACACACACACAGACACACACACAGACACACACACACACACAGACACACACACACACAGACACACACACACAGACACACGCACACACACGCACGCACACACACGCACGCAGACACACGCACACACACACACACGCACACACACACACGCACACAGACACACGCACACACAGACACACGCACACACACACACGCACACACACGCACGCACACAGACACACACACACACACGCACACAGACACACAGACACACGCACACACACAGACACGCACACACACACAGACACACGCAGACACACAGACACACACAGACACACGCACACACACACACACGCAAGCATCTTGTGTTGCTTCCCCTCAGCCTCGTTTAGATCAGATCAGCCCCCCACTCCCACGCAGACCCCCCCGGCTCGCGAGGCCCCTCCCCCGGCGCAGGACGCGCCAATTGGGGGGGGGCACGCGGCACGGGGGGGCGGAGAGGAGGGTCAGGTGACACGCACGAAGGACTCATCATCGGGGAGCGCTGGGGCCATCAAACAGACCCGCTCTCGGGCGTAGCCACTGCCGTGGTTACTACCGGCAACTACAGCCACTACCACCGGTAACTACCGTCACTACCACCGTTAACTATCGTCACTACTACCGGTAACTACCGTCACTACTACCGTTAACTACCGTCACTACTACCGGTAACTACCGTCACTACCACCGTTAACTACCGTCACTACTACCGGTAACTACCGTCAATACTACCGTTATAACTACCGTCACTACTACCGGTAACTACCGTCACTACTACCGGTAACTACCGTCAATACTACCGTTATAACTATCGTCACTACTACCGGTAACTACCGTCACTACTACCGTTAACTACCGTCACTACTACCGGTAACTACCGTCACTACTACCATTATAACTACCGTCACTACTACCGGTAACTACCGTCACTACTACGGTTAACTACTGTCACTACTACGGTTAACTACTGTCACTACTACGGTTAACTACCGTCACTACCACCGTTAACTACCGTCACTACTACCGTTATAACTACCATCACTACTACCGGTAACTACCGTCACTACTACCGGTAACTACCGTCACTACTACCGGTAACTACCGTCACTACTACCGGTAACTACCGTCACTACTACCGGTAACTACCGTCACTACTACCGGTAACTACCGTCACTACCACCGTTAACTACCGTCACTACTACCGTTAACTACCGTCACTACTACCGGTAACTACCGTCACTACCACCGTTAACTACCGTCACTACCACCGTTAACTACCGTCACTACTACCGTTAACTACCGTCACTACTACCGGTAACTACCACCACTACTACCGTTAACTACCGTCACTACTACCGGTAACTACCGCCACTACTACCGGTAACTACCGTCACTACTACCGGTAACTACCGTCACTACTACCGGTAACTACCGTCACTACCACCGTTAACTACCGTCACTACTACCGGTAACTACCGTCACTACCACCGTTAACTACCGTCACTACTACCGTTAACTACCGTCACTACTACCGGTAACTACCACCACTACTACCGTTAACTACCGTCACTACTACCGGTAACTACCGCCACTACTACCGGTAACTACCGTCACTACTACCGGTAACTACCGTCACTACTACCGGTAACTACCGTCACTACCACCGTTAACTACCGTCACTACTACCGTTAACTACCGTCACTACTACCGGTAACTACCGTCACTACTACCGTTAACTACCGTCACTACTACCGGTAACTACCACCACTACTACCGGTAACTACCGTCACTACTACCGTTAACTACCGTCACTACTACCGGTAACTACCGTCACTACTACCGGTAACTACCGTCACTACTACCGGTAACTACCGTCACTACCACCGTTATAACTACCGTCACTACTACCGGCAACTACCGTCACTACTACCGGTAACTACCGTCACTACCGTTATAACAGTTACTACTACCGGTAACTACCGTCACTAATACCATTATAACAGTCACTACTACCGTTAACTACCGTCACTACCACCGTTAACTACCGTCACTACCACCGTTAATTACCGTCACTACTAGGCGATGGTGGTGGCTACGTCAGCGGTGGTGATGTAGCAGCGACGTAGGCAGTGACGTACGTCACGTACGAGACGTGACGTAGGTGGTAGCTACGTTAGCGGTGGTGGTGATGTAGTAGCGATGTAGGTAGTGATTTACGTCACGTACGAGACGTGACGTAGGCGATGGCGGTAGCTGCGTTAGCGGTGGTGATGTAGCAGCGACGTAGGCAGTGATTTACGTCACGTACGAGACGTGACGTAGGTGGTAGCTACGTTAGCGGTGGTGGTGATGTAGCAGCGATGTAGGTAGTGACGTACGTCACGTACGAGACGTGACGTAGGCGATGGTGGTAGCTACGTTAGCGGTGGTGGTGGTGTAGCAGCGACGTACCAGGCGCGCGATGGAGATAGGGGGGCGGTTGGTACGAGACATGAACAGCCTCTTGAGCACCACTTTGTTGAAGGGGGAGCTCGTGCGGCGAGCAAGGAAGCGGTAGAGCTGAGAACAAAATGGCGACATCAAGCGACACGTCGCTCAGCGATGCAACGTCAAACGCCACAACATCGTCACAACACGTCAACGCCATAACACCACCACCAACACCACCACCAACAACACCACCAACACCACCACCAACATCACCACCAACATCACCACCACCACCAACACCACCACCACCAACACCACCACCACCAACACCACCACCAACACCACCACCACGACATCAAACACAACGCATCACCGCATCATCAAGCGCCAAAATACCACAATAATACAACACGATGACATATCAAACACAATATCATCACAACAACACAAACACCACCACCACGTCAACAAAACACCATAACAACACAGCATAACAATACAACACAATAACATCAAACACAATATCATCACAACAACACAAACACCACCACCACGTCAACAAAACACCATAACAACACAGCATAACAATACAACACAATAACATCAAACACAATATCATCACAACACAAACACCACCACCACGTCAACAAAACACCATAACAACACAGCATAACAATACAACACAATAACATAACATCAAACACAATATCATCACAACAACACACACACCACCACCACCACGTCACCAAACACCACATCAACAAAACACAATAACAACACAGAATAACAATACAACACAATAACATCAAACACAATATCATCACA